GGTTTGGTTTCTTTGGTAGGGGTCTGAATCCATGTATCTGTACATTGGCATCATTTTTGACCAAATTTATACACACAAACACCAAAAAAGTCCTCCAAAACGTTTAAGCAGCACCAAGAGCTGACAAAAGAACAAGATGAAAATTAGAAGAAAATTCATAAATCACTAAAAGGGAAAAAAAAGGAAGAAGAAGAAGCTCAAAACTCCAATTTTCAAACTATAGCAGAAGGAACCAACAAGGACCAAATGCAGACTGGATTCAAATTGATGTGTTTTTGAAGACAATGGAAATCAGAAGATGCAGAATCAAAATTTTACATAGAGCCCAAATTGAAGTAAAGAAATGCTGAGAACTCCAATTTCCAAGCCATAGCAGACAGAGAAGCATCAAATTCAATTCAATGAATGTTTAGGACAATGCAAATGAAAAGATACATAACCAAATATTTATAAAAACTCCAGATTCAGGGAAAGAAAATGCTAAAAAATCCAATTTTCAGAACACAGCAGACAAAGAGCCAACAAGCAGCCAGTGGAAATTTACATTCAGATTAATTGATTTTTGAAAACAATGCAAATTAGAAGATGCAAAATCAAAAGCTCATACGAAGTTCAAATTTTTAATTCATGGGTTATCACTATCTACTGCATATCTTCTCTCAGTGGATCTCACAATATTATAGAAACAAAAACAAGCCAAAATCAAAATTGTAAGGCAAAACAAAGGAAGAGGAAGAGGAAGAACCACAACTTACAATTCACTGGAGAAATATCAAACAGCCAATTACGGTTCCACAATCCGGATGACTCAGTTAACGGAGCAAATCGGTCCACAAACCCGAAAAGGAGAAAAATGGAAGCTTGTTGTGTGTCTCTGTCTTTGGCTTTTTACTGAAATCAGTCTCTGTTCTGATGAGAGAGGGCGTCAGATCATTGGAGATTTATAGAAGGGTTAGAATCGGAAATAATGGAGAAAAAATCTAAGCTTTGTCTTCGAGAGGTTTCCCGCGTCATCTAACGGTGAAGTTTCGAGACCCTTCTGATAACGTGCACTTCGTCTTTGTCCACCACGTGTCAGTTTTCTCCCAAAGAATGTAGATCATTCTACGCCTTGATTTTTTTTTTTGGGTGTGTGATAATAATAGCGTCCAAATGTAGATCATGGACATTTTTATTTTTATTTTTTCTTATTTGGAGGGAGATTTTTTTTTTTTAATTGTTTAATTTTCTGTGACAATGATATTTGTAGAGAATTCAATCAAATACATATCATCATGAATCATCATGATGTTCTTAACCACTTCAATTACTATGAAAGATGAAAAGTTCTTAACCTATATATGTCATGTTCACAACCTCAAATATTTATCTCCCTTCTGATGATGGTCGACAATTGCACAAAGCAAAGTTTCTCCAAGCCCCTCAAATATTTTCGTGTCATTCTCTGCATACTAGTGCTTGAAATTTACAAAAACTTTGGAATGAATCTAGTACTATTGCAAGTGGACCATATTCACAATGTTGACTTAGAAAGAAGAAAGTGGTTTCAACAAAAACTTTCTTTTACAACTCAGGTGCAAGTCTATATATAGATTAAGCCCAAAGAAGCCACTGCTATATCAAACTCATTAGAACAACTCACAAGATTCTGTGATCAAGTCTCATTCTCTCATGTCTATCGTGAAGCCAATGCGGTTGCAGATGTCTTTGCTTCCCTTGGTCATTGCTTTCGCCTTCGAAGCTTTGGGAGAGTAGTCTCCCCTTTCTGTTGGTTCCTCTTTTTAGTTGGACTTGTTTGGGCCTGCGTATTCTAGAGGATTGTGTCTCTGCTAGTTTTCCTTTCTCGAATAAAAAAAAGGAAAAAAACTCATCAGAACAACTATGGCTGCCTTTTTCACCAAGTTGTGTTGGTAATCTTCCTACTGGTGGAGGGCACACTAACAGAAACCACAGGAAGATATCGCATTGTGAACATAGGCTTCCTCTCAAAATTTGGAAATGGCACAATGGTGCACTGTCCACTGGCCTATATGACTATGTTTGGGTTCAATTCTGCAACAACCCATATGGCATACAATCCACGGTGTGAGTTTACCTTTGGCAAACCAACGGGCCCAATAAGAGTCTACTTCTTATCCAAATCATGCACCGATATTGTTCCCACCCTAACTATTTAGGTCCAACAAATCCTTGGATTGGGTTATACATCATTACTTGTATCTAGCCACCTACACTAAAGCTGTGTGTAATTTAAGCCCCGACTATGAGACTGGCTTAAAAGAAAGCACTCATGCTCTTTCATCAGTTTAATTTAACAATAAAGCTAATGCTGTTGAAATAATATTTAGTTAGTTATATAAGATGTCCTATAAATCATTATTGGTAGACTTTCCTTTCACTAACCCCTAAACCAGCAAGAGAAAAGTGCATTAAAATTCATGAACTTGGATGTAGATAATTTATCCTGAAAATTCGAACACATGTACAAATACCATTTGATAATTCTGTTCCTTAGCAAGTAATACTAGAGGCTTGACTTGAAGTAGCCAAGCAAATCATTGCTCGCCTTATTAAGATTATGCAGGACAGAAGAAGAACAAAGACATATTTCGGGTCTCAAATCTGATTTGTTTTTGTTTAAGAAAAGATTATCAACATGAATTATTAGTTAATTAGCTGATTGTTTGGTTAAATATAGTGTCTACAACTCTGGCTTCTGGTCTAGCAAAGGAAGCAATGCATGATGCATCAATTTATTGAAATCAGTAGAAAGCTACAAGTGTTCATCAGTTTCATACTTTCCTTCGGAAAAATGTGACCTAGAGCAAGGAAATTACACAGCAAATTTGGGGCATTTACAAACCCCTATTAGATAGTAGTGGCCTAGTGCTTAGTCAAGCGAACCATGTACTGCAGGCTTAACTTCAAGTGAAGCAAAAGATGTTCAGATCAAATTATGGGATTAACCTTTCTCAACCCAAAACTCTCTCCCTGCTGACGCTGCTTGACAATTGGCATTGAATAGCTAGCCCAATACAGCTTACATGCTTCCAACCTTATTTTTAACTACGTACCATATTCACAAGATTGACTAAGAAAGAATTAAGGTTTCCGAATATATCATTCAGTCCTCATATGCAAGTCTATAAATAGAGTAAGCCGAAAGGAACTTGCTTACCAAGTTTTGTTCTCAAGTGTCACAGTCTTCCTACTGGTTCTCCTTTCCTTGGTTTGCAAGTCAGATGCCAGAAGCATTGTGGTTTATTGGGGCCAAAATTGGAGGGAGGGCACCCTAACACAAACATGTAACAGAGGAAGATACAAAGGTAAACATAGGATTACTCTCAAAATTTGGCAGAGGCCAAAAACCAGAGATCAACTTAGCTGGCCACTGTAACCCTAGGTTGATGGTTGCCATATAGCGAGTATTGGCATCAAAAACTGCCAAAAAAAGGGGATTAAGGTCCTGCTTTCGATTGGTGGTGGTGGTGGTTTTGTGAGCTATGGATTATGAAAATGATGCTAATAATGTCTTTCCAATTCTAGGCATATACTCTCAAGATGAAACTATATATAAAATCTCTAAGGAGATTAAATCCGGCCATTTTCTTTCAACAAAAATGTTATATATTTTATTCAAAATGATATCGCTTTTGTTTCTGTATCTAGCAATCTGGGAAATGAACCTTCCTAGACTGGTTTTTCCTACGCAAAAGCGATCCCCTTTTTGGTACAACTTGGCGCATATAAGATCCTCCTAATTGCAAATATTGAAGCTGTTTGATTGGCTCTAGTCTAGCAGGGGAAGCATTGCATTGAAACCAGTAGAGAGCTAGATGTTTATGTGTTCATCAGTTTTATAATTCCTTTAAGAAAAATGTGACCTAGAGTAGTGGCCTAGTGCTTAGCACGTCTGAATTAAAGTCAAGCCAACCAGCTGGCTGGACTACAATATCTTTTATCAACCTGAAAAAAAGGGGATTAACCTATTTATTTTCTCAACCCTAAACTCTCTCCCTACTGGTGCTGCTTGACAAATGGCACCAATCCAAGTTTGTCAACCCCTAAAAAAATAGCTAGACCAATACAATCATTTGTATTGTCCTTGTTAGTAAGTTACTACATGTTTGACCACAACTCAAGAGTAATGTCATTGACTCCAAAGTACAGCTCAAAATTTTGATTATATTTACACATGGGTCTGGTATTATTGCAAGAAAGAATTTTAAGGTTTCAGAATATACATTCAGCACGCTCAGATGCAAGTCTATAAATAGAGTAAACCCACAGGAACCCCTGGTATCAAACTCATTGGAAGTACAATTATGGCTGCCTTGTTTACCAAGTTTTGTTCTCAAGCTGCCATAGTCTTCCTATTGGTTCTCCCTTCCTTGGTTTCCAAATCAGATGCCGGGAGCATTGTGGTTTATTGGGGCCAAAATGGTGGGGAGGGCACCCTAACAGAAACATGTAACACTGGAAGATACCAAATTGTCAACATAGGGTTCCTCTCAAAATTTGGCAGAGGCCAAACACCTGAGATCAACCTAGCCGGCCACTGTAACCCGAAGTCAAATGGTTGCCATAGAGCGAGTATTGGCATAAAAAACTGCCAAAGGAAGGGGATTAAGGTCCTGCTTTCGATTGGTGGTGGTTTTGGGAGCTATGGGCTATCATCTGAAA